GCCTCAGCCTTCTGAGTAGCTGGGATTACAGGTATGCACCACGATGCCTGGCTAACTTTTTTGTATTTTTAGTAGAGTAGTAGAGACAGGATTTCATCACGTTGGCCAGGCTAGTCTCGAACTCCTGGCCTCAAGTGATCTGCCCGCCTCAGCCTCCCAAAGTACTGGGACCACAGACATGAGCCACCATGCTCTGCCAGGATTAAGAATTTTGAAATTTTTACAGTGTTCAGGACAGTACCTGGCTGTCAGCATTATGTAGTGCTTGCTGAATTTTTATTTATTGTATTTATTCACAGGTGTGTGTGTGTGTGTGTGTGTGTGTGTGTGTGTGTGTGTGTACGAACTCTGAGCATTTCCCAGGAAAATGCATTTCCTAGAAATTTCTAGGAACTCAGAAAACAATGATGAATGAGACACAGCCTTTTCTTTTGAAGAACTCAATGTCTATTTTAATACACAGACTGGTTTGTTCTGTTTTTAGAGATGGGGTCTCATTCTGTCACCCAGGCTGGAGTGCAGTGGCACAATTATAGCTCACTGAAGCCTGTAATTCCTGGGCTCAAGAGATCCTCCCACCATAGCCTCCCAAGTAGTTGGGACTACAAATACGTGCTATCGTGTCCAGCTAATTTTTATTTTTTATTTTTGTAGAGACAGGTTCTCACTATGTTGTTCAGGCTGGTCTTGAACTCCTGGCCTCAAGTCATAATCCCACCTCAGCCTCCCAATAGTGTTGGGGTTACAGCCGTTAGCCACCTCGCCCTGCCAATTGGTTTTTAACAGCTCTAGTAGAGACATTGGCAAAGTGCTGGGGGAAAATCCAGGAGGAGGCAAGTAACTCCACCCAGGGATAACAGGAATGGATACGCACAGCTCACATCTGTAATTGAGCAGAATTCAAGGTGTAAGAGGAGGTACCTTGTAATAGTGGCTCTCAACCTTCCCTTGAATTTAAATCTCCTAGAGGGCTTTTTAAAACACAGATTCCCAAGCCCTAGGCCAAAAGTTCTGATTCAGTAGGTCTGGGTAGGACTCGAGAATATGCCTTTCTAACAGGTTCCCACGTGATGTTGTTGCTGATGCTGGTCCAGGGATCCCACCATGAGAACTCTGCCTTACAGGACCTGGGAGAAAGCAGCAAGTGCCTGGGTTCAGGAAAATGAAAGAACCTGGCCTTCTCAGGGGAGCAAAGGTAGTCTGGCAGGGTTGGGTCAGACAGCAGTGTAGAAAATAACAAAAGATGAGGTGGGAAGAGTGCAGAGGCTGCAGCAAATCCTGAACACTTAGGGGACCTTTGGAATTTGTGGCCTTGAATAACTTGACCCAACTTGTATTTCCAAAATGATTGCTGTGGAGGAAAGGAGATCAGCTTGGAGGTTGCTGTTAGAGACCAGAGGAGAAATAATGAGGTCAGAGCTGGTGCAGGTGCAGTAGAAATAAGAAGAAACAGGCCAGGCACAGTGGCTCATGCCTGTAATCCCAGCACTTTGGGATGCAACAGTGGTAGGATTGCTTGAGGTTAGGAGATTGACACTGGCCTGGGCAACACAACAAGACTATATCTCTATAAATAATTTAAAAAATTAATTGAGGGTCAGCACAGTGGCTCACACCTGTAATACCAGCACTTTGGGAGGCTGAGGTGGGTGGATTGCTTGAGGCCAGAAGTTCAAGACCAGCCTGGCCAACATGGTCAAACCCTGTCTCTACTAAAAATACAAAAATTAGCCAGGTATGGTGGCACACACTTGTAATCCCCACAACTCAAGAGGCTGAGGCAGGAGAATCACTTAAGCCCGGGAGGCAGAGGTTGCAGTGAGCTGAGATCATGCCACTGCACTCCAGCCTGGACGACAGAGTAAGACTCCATCTCAAAAAATATGTATGTATTAACTAGGCATGGTGATGTGTGCCTGTAGTCCCAGCTACTGGGGAGGCTGAGGTAGGAGGACAACTTGAGCCCAGGAGTTCAAGACTGCAATGAGCTATGATTGCACCACTGCACAGACTGGGCAACAGAGTGAGACCCTATCTTTAAAAAAATAAAAGAAATACATGGACATCATAGAGCATATAATTAGGTATCTCTGTGAATGCCTATACAGAACGTAAGAAAGAGGGAAGGGTTAAGGCTTGCTCCATTCTTAGCCAGCCCTCATGCCTGGATGGAGGGGATTCTATCAACTGAGAAAAGAATGGAGGAAACAAAACAGATTTGGGGAGAAGAGAATATCAGAAATTCAATTTGCAATAATTTTGAGGCATCACTGACATCCAGCAAGCAATTAGAAATACAGGGCCAGAGCCAAGGAAAGAAGCCAAGACTAGAGATAAAGACCTGGGCATCCCTGAGCACAGGGTCAGGTTAAAATCAAGGCTTTGGATATGATGGCCAAAGGAAACAGAGCTGACTGGGGGAAGAACAGGCACAAAATTCTGACTTACCTCTTTTAAATGGCTTAGCTTAGCAGTTGCAAAGAAGAAGAGAAAAGGGAGAATAAGGAAGGAATCCAGAAGCTAGGACCCAGCAGGACTTAGCGAAGATGTTTACAGCATCCTGGTGCTAGCTCTGTCATCTGTGAATGCTATGGTTTTGATGTGTCTCCTCCAAAATTCATGTGTTGGAAACTTCATCCCCAATGCAGCAGTGTTGGGAAGTGGGGCCCTTTGGGAGGCATTTAGGTCATGAAGGATCTGCACTTGTAAATGGATTAATGCCACTGCAAAAAGGGCTTGCAGGAGTGGGTCTGCTCTCTCTTGCCTTTCTGGTTTCTGTCATGTGTGAACACAGCAAGAAGGCCCACACCAGATGCCAGCACATTCATCTTGGACTTCCCAGCCTCCAGAGCTGTGAGAAATAAATTTCTGCTCTTTATAAATTACCCAATCTGTTGTATTCTGTTACAGCGGCACAAACAGACTAAGACAGTGTAGCATCACAAGCCTTTCTGACCTAACCTGCATTTAATTGCAAAGTGCCTGCTAGTCATTATCTATTCTCAGGCCCATGGGCTGCCTGCTTTTCCTGGTTCTGCTCCTATCACAGAGGCCTGGCCCATGGAAATTACATTTCTCAGGCTCCTTGACCAACTGGCTTCTGGTGAATTTCCACCAAAGAGTAGCACTGGCAGGAGATTGCAGGGAAAGGAGTAGTAAAAGTTTGTCCTCCCCCACCCCTTTTCTTCTCCAGCCCTTGCCCCATCTATCCCTTCTGGGGTGCCTCATGAGAGGTGTGCTGGGTCTCAGCACGTATCCCAACTCCTGGCATCTGGTGACATTCCCTCTGTCTTCCGTCCCTCCAGCTGCGTGTGGGTGGGGAGTCACAGCTTGCTGCTGTTGCTCATCTCTGCAATGACTCACTAGCCCATTTGACTTTCAGCTCTTCCAATATCTGACGACTAGTTCTCTGTATTTGAATTTCTTCTATTGAACTAGCTGGTGTGGGGCCTGTTGTTGTCCTCACTAGTGCCTGATTGATAAACATACATTGATAATCCATCAGCTTCTCCCCCCACCACTGTGTCAGGCATCAGAATCTTATTCAGGCTGGGATTACCCAAGCTGATATTAACAAAGCCTGTCGTTTAAAAGTTAAGCAGAAAAGCAATTTTAAAAGAGGTGGTAAATAAAGATAAAAGCTGAAATAAACACATTGTACAACATAAAGCAGTAAAATGATAGATGAGTTCAAAAGCTGTTTTTTTGATAAGATGACTAAAATAAATAAACCTCTGACAAATTTAATTAGGGGAATATTTTTAATTAGAAATGAGAAAGGAGATAGGACAATTTATAGAAAATAGATTTTCCCTCAAATCCAGAGAGAATGTTATGCATTCTTCTAGACTAATAAACTGAAATCCTCAATGAAAAATTTCTAGAAAGATATAGATTACTAAAAATAATCCAAGTATAAATCCAAACAGAATAACAACTGAGAAGAAAATTGAGAAAATCATCCAATAACAGTCCCCAAACTGCAGTTGGTCTCATTATTTCCACCAGGGCAATTTTTATATGTTTAAGAAACAGATAATTTTCATGTTGTATAAAACATACAGAGTGGGCCTGGTGTGGTGGCTCATACCTATAATCCTAGCACTTTGGGAGGCCCAGGTAGGCGGATTGCTTGAACTCAGGCATTTGAGACCAGCCTGGGCAACGTGGCAAAATCCTGTCTCTACTAAAAACACAAAAATTAACCGGGCATAGGGCATATGTGCCTGTAGTCTCAGATACTTGGGAGGCTGAGATAGGAGGATCACTTGAGCCTAAAAGATTGAGGCTGCATGAGCTGTGTTCGCACCACTGCACTCCAGCCTGGGTAACAGAGTGAGATCCTGTCTTAAAAAAAATATGTATATATGTGTATACATATATGTGTATGTGTGTGTGTGTGTATGTGTGTGTGTGTGTGTGTGTGTGTGTATATATATATATATATATATGCAAAAAGAGATGAGTTCCTTTATGTCTATCCGGCAAGCATGAACTTCTTCTCAAACCCTGATAAAGATAAAACATACAAAAAGAAAATTATAGGCACGTGATAATGAATATGGATAGGAAAAGCTTGAAGAAAATTCTCACCTCTAAAAAGGAACTTGTTTTACTATACTGCTATCTTCACAGGGCTGATAAGTTTTTTATGGGGAGGAGGGTGTTGTAACAGCTTCCCTGAGATCTAATTTTTTTTTTTTAAACGGAATTTCTCTCTTGTTGCCCGGGCTGGAGTGCAATGGCACGATCTTGGCTCACTGCAACTTCTGCCTCCCAGGTTCAAGCGATTCTCTCACCTCAGCCTCCTGAGCAGCTGGGATTAGAGGTGCTCGCCACCACGCCCAGCTAATTTTTGTATTTTTAGTAGAGACAGAGTTTCATGATGTTGGTCAGGCTGGTCTCAAACTGCTGACTTCAGGTGACCCACCAGCCTTGGCATCCTAAAGTGCTGGGATTACAGGTGTGAGCCACTGAGCCTGGTCTATATTCTTATACTAAAAAAAATATGGACTTTATAAATCTGTCATCCTGATGCAAGGGCCATGCAGATCTCCACTGTAGTGTCTCAACTTCAGTATATGTGCTGCTAACGTGAGCACAAAGGGTGATAACTTTACAAGTTAAATTGAAAGAAATCACAGAGGATGGATGGTTTGTATGTTATCAGTAAACAACCATTTGACAAAACTTCCAAAGCTAAAATTAAAGGGAAACTATCTGGAGCAAATGTTCACAGAAAATATAACAAAAAGTTCTGTGTTACATAAAGAATTTACATATGTTGGGCCGGGCACGGTGGCTCACTCCTGTAATCCCAGCATTTTGGGACGCTGAGGTAGGTGGATCACCTGAGGTCTGGAGTTGGAGACCAGCCTGGCCAACATGGTGAAACCCCATCTCTACTTAAAATACTAAAAATATTAGCTGGGTGTTGTGGGGGCATCTGTAATCCCAGCTACTTGGGAGGCTGAGAGGCAGGAGAATTGCTCGAACCCGGAAGGCAGAGGTTGCAGTGAGCCAAGATCGCGCTATTCCACCCTAGTCCAGGCAACAAGAATGAGACTCCATCTCAAAAAAAAAAAAAGAACTTATGCATGTTGATACAAAATAAATAAATAAGTCTCCAATATGTAAACTGGCAAAGAACTTGAGAAGGCAATTCATGAAAAAAAGAGATGCTATTAGTAAACAAGCATGTGAAAAAATGTTCAACTTTGCTGTGATCAAATAAATACTCACTAGCACAGTGTGGGAGCATCTTACACCCACTACATTAAGATAATTGGGTGTTTTTTGTTTTTTGAGACAGAGTTTCTCGCTCTGTCACCCAGGCTGGAGTGCAGTGGTGTAATCTCGGCTTACTTCAGCCTCCACCTCCCAGGGTCCAGTGATTCTCATGTCTCAGCCTCCCAAGTAGCTGGGATTACAAGTGTGCACCACCACGCCTGGCAAATTTTTGTATTTTTAGTAGAGACGGTGTCCTGCCATGCTGGCCAGGCTGGTCTCAAACTCCTCGCCTCAAGTGATCCACCCCACTCAGCCTCTTAAAGTGCTGGGATTACAGGCATGAGCCACCATGCCCGGCCCCCTACATTAGGAGAATTTTAAGAGTTACCTAGTATTACAATACTGGTAAAGTGAGTTGACTCATACACTATTGGACATCAGGGATCATCTCAAAATTTCATAATATCCCTTTATTCTAAGGAATTTTTAAAGATTTAAAAAAAAAATACATGAGATGCTTTTTGCAAAGTCATTTCTAACAAGAAAAATAAATGTACATATACATGTATATATTTATGTATTTTTGTGTGTGGGTATATATATGTATATACACACATATGTCTATATATGTATGTATATATACACATATATTTGTGTATATATGTGTGTATATGTACATATATGTGTGTATATGTGTGTATGTGTGTATATATGTGTGTGTGTATATATGTGTGTATGTGTATATATATATGCTTCAATTTCCTCATCTGTAAAACAGGGCTAATGACAGTACCTAAAAAGTGATTATGAGGATTAAGTAAAGCTCTTCAGGCTGGACATGGTGGCTCACGCATGCAATCCCAGCACTTTGGGAGACCAAGGCAGGCAGATCACTTGAGACGAGCCTGGACAACATGGTAAAACCCTATCTCTACAAAAATACGAAGACAAGCTGGGTGTGACAGCACATGCCTGTTGTCCCAGCTGGTGGGAGGGATGATTGAGCCCAGGAGATCGAGGCTGCAGTAAGCAGAGCTCACACCACTACTACACTCCAGCCTGGGCAACAGAGCAAGACCCTGTCTCAAAAAAAAAAAAAAAGAATAATGATAATACAAAACGGTATCACTTCAAATGCATTAACACAATGATTTACAACAATGTAAACATGATGAGAAGTGGACAGAGAACCAGAAGGAGAAAGGAATAATGAAAATCACCACTGCATGAACAAGGGAGGTGTATAAATCACTTTTCCTTTTGGAATTATTTTGGTTTTAGTACAAGTAGAGATCTGGTGGGAAACAAAATTAAAATATACCGAAAGCTACTCTAATGAATTGGCACCTTCTGGGCAGCCTAATATTACATCTGGGAACTCTGCATCTAAGATATTTGAAATAATAAACTCAGCATACATCCCCCCTGGGGACACCATGTGGTGTGTGGGACCAGCCAGCTGATGGCACTGCTTCACTTGCCTAGAGGACCAAAGAGGCATTTATTGGCCTCAATAATATACCAGGACTGGTTATTCGATCTTCCTTAAAGATAAAGTCTTTTCCTTAACCAGGCATGGTGGTGCATGCCTGTAGTCCCAACTACTGGGGAGGCTGAGATGGAAGGATTGCTTGACACCAGGAGTTCTAGGTTGCACTGAGCTATGATTGTGCCACTGCACTCCAGCAAGACCCTGTCTCAAAAAAAAAAAAAAAAAAAGAAAAGAAAAGATGAAGTCTTTTTCTTAAACCCAATACTCAAAACGCAAAACAAATCTCTGCACAGTTGGGAAATTGACCCAGGTTTGATCTGGATGAACAGTAACCTTCCAGAAATAGTATGGAGAATCCTTTAAAAACTAAATGTAGAACTACTATTTGATCCCGCAATCCCACTACTGGGCATCTACCCAGAGGAAACAAAGTCATTATACAAAAAAGATACTTGCACACACATGTTTACAGCAGTACAATTAGCAATTGCAAAACCGTAGAACCAACCCAAATGCCCATCAATTAACGAGTGGATAAAGACACTGTAGTACATATAAATGGTGGAATACTACTCAGCCATAAAAAGGAATGAATTAACGGCATTTGCAGCAACTTGGATGGAATTGGAGACTATTACACTAAGATGGAAAACCAAACATCGTATGTTCTCACTCATAAGTGGGAGCTAAGCTATGAGGATGCAAAGGCATAAGAATGACACAGTGGACTTTGGGGACTCAGGGGGAAAGGATGGGAAGGGGGTGAGGGTCAAAAGACTACAAATTGGGTTCAGTGTATACTGCTCAGGTGATGGGTGCACCAAAATCTCACAAATCACCACTAAAGAACTTATGTAACCAAATACCACCTGTTCCCCAATAACCTATGGAAATAGAAAATTTGAAAAAAGAAATACTAAATTAAAAACAAACCAACAACAACAACAACAAAAACAGTAACCTTCCAGGAAGCTGCTTTGACCTTCAGGACCAGGACCGGGTGGTTACGCCTCCCTTGTGTGATTTGGTCAACAGGCAGGAAGAGTTGAACAGCAGGCAGCATTATGCCCAGATTCATTTAAATCTACAAATGGAGAAAAATGCAAATCACCAGAGTGACAGGCTTCAGGATAATGAGAGACAAACCTAAAGGCGGCCTTAGGCTTTTTCTTCCCAAAAGTCAGCAAAGCTTGAAAATCTCTACCCAGTCCAAAGCCATGCGTGGAAAGTGACTTCACTGGCGGCTCCTGCATTGTTACGGGCTTGTGAAGGACAAATCGAGACACGAGTAGCCGAGAGACGGAAACGTAGCTGATCCAAGTTGAGCTGGAGTCCTGACAACTGCCTACATGACTCAGAATGTGTGCAGTTAGTAAGTATATGGCTCCAATAAAGGAAGTGACAAGTTCAGCGGAGGATATAAATCCAGAAGAGAAATACCAGAAGATAACATAGAACCTAGTGTGACCAGAGGCTGAATCACACTGAGCTTAGATTCATATGTCCAAATGCCGATTCCACTTGGGATGTCAACAGGCATCTCAAACCTAATAGGTCAAACACAGGGCTCCAGGTCTTTGCCCTCACCTGTCCTGCCCGCTGCCTTCCAGTCTCATGTAAGGCATCCTTCCAACTCTTCTGCTGGAGTCTCTTTACTTTCTCTCCTTGTTTTACATCTCACATCCAATCCATCAGAAAATCCCATTGGTTCTAGATTCAAGATACCCCCAAATCCCTCGTCTTCTCATCATCTCCGCTACAACCGCCCTGGTCCAAGCCATCATCATCTCTTGCCTGATTCTTTCTTTCTTTCCCTCTTTCTTTCTCTTTCTTTTTTTCTTTCTTTCTTTTCTTTCTTTCTTTCTCTTTCTTTTTTTCTCTTTCTTTCTCTTTGTCTTTGTCTTTTCTTTTCTTTTTGTACAGGGTCTCACTCTGTAATCCAGACTGGAGTGCAGAGAAGAGAAGAGAAGAATGACAAGTGTTGGCAAAGATGCGAAGAAACTGGGACCCTTACACCTCTTGGTGGAATACAAAATGGTGCGGCTGCTACAGAAAACAGTATGGCCACTCCTCAAAAACTTTAAAATAGCGTTACCATATGATCCAGCAATTCTATTTCTGGGTATATACCCAAAAGAATTGACGGCAGGATCTCCAAGAGATATTTATACACCCATATTCATAGCAGCGTTATTCATAATTGCCAAAAAGACGAAGCAACCCAAGGTCTATTGAGAGATGAATGGAGTTTAAAATGTGGTGTATATATTACAATGGAAGGAAAATCCTGTCACATGATACAACACAGATGAACTTTGAGGACATTATGTTTTGTGATATAAGCCAGTAATCAAAAGACAAGTATTGGGCCTGGTGTGGTGGCTCACACCTGTAATCCCAGCACTTTGGGAGGCTGAGGCAGGCGGATCACTTGAGGTGAGGAGTTGGAGACCAGCCTGGCCAATATGGTGAAACCCTGTCTCTACTAAAAATGCAAAAAATTAGACAGGCGTGGTGGCACGTGCTTGTAATCCCAGTTACTCAGGAGGCTAAGGCATGAGAATCACTTAAACCTGGGATGTGGAGGTTGCAGTGAGTTGAGATCACACCACTGCACTCCAGCCTGCACAACACTCGGTCTCAAAAAAAAAAAAAAAGACAAGTATTGGATTATTCCATTCATACAAGGTACTTAGTGTGGTCAAATTCACAGAGAGAGGCCAGGCACTGTGGCTTATGCCTGTAATTCCAGCACTTTGGGAGGCCAAGGTGGGCAGATCACTTGAGGTCGGGAATTTGAGACCTGCTTGGCCAACATGGTGAAACCCCATCTCTACTAAAAATATAAAAATTAGCTGGTCATAGTGGCCCATGCCTGTA